AACACTAGATAAAAAACATACAGTGGAGTGTAGAAATCAAACTCTACGTTTACGTTTACGTGGATTTTTTTTTTTTGGATTCATTTATATTTTTGCTTGAATTGGTGGATTTTGGTCTCTTATAGGTACAAATCAAAAATTTGGTGTTCAGGAAGCAAAAATGATGAAAGAGTAAGAAAATAGTTGCAATTAGGAAAATAAAATCAAATTAGAAGAGAGAATCCCTCAACATCTTTGGAAGTGTACGTCCACAACGTCGAGCGTGACTTTCTCATCCAGACTCCAAATCAAATGGTTCAAGCGGCATTAGAAAGCTATTTCAGCTGGCTACAATTCCAGTCTAACGATAAAAATCCAAATTCAGACTCAAACATGGTCAAAATTGGATTCCGAAAGCGATCATGAAAATACGTACTACAGTTCGAGGACATGAATGCGCATCAAGAAACGTGCACAAAAACTCTCGCTGGAAAAATACACACATAAGTAAGAGTACAAAAGCATGCACAAAAGTACTCACGCAAAAGTGCATTCGCAAAAAGGATCATGAAAACACAAACTACAATTCTAGACATTAATACGAATCAACAAACATGCACAAGCTCACTTGCTCAAATGGACATGCACAAACGTACATGTAAAAAAACATGCCCAAAACAGCATTCTCAACAACGTTCTTAAAAACACGAACTACAATACTAGGACTTTAATACGCATCAACAAACAACAGCAAAAACACTAGATAAAAAACATACAGTGGAGTGTAGAAATCAAACTCTATGTTTACGTTTACGTGGATTTTTTTTTTTTTGGATTCATTTATATTTCTGTTTGAGTTGGTGGATTTGGTATCTTGTAGGTACAACTCGAAAATTAGGTGTCTAGGAAGCAAAAATTATCAAAGAGTAAGAAAAGAGTTGCAAAAATTAATAAATCCTCTCTTCTCTCTCATCGCCGAACCCTAACCCTAGCTGCCCATCTTCGTTTTTTGCCCTCTTCCGGCGGCATGCAGCCACCGGACCAGCCGCTGGCGCCTCCAGGGCAGCAACCCCGTCCCTCCTTTGCAGCCATACTGACCAACCAAAGAACAACTTCACCTACCCGCGTAGTCCCTGTCGCTTTAGCCCCTCGCCCCACCTCCTCTGTTGAACAAGCTCCGGCGGTGTTCTTCTCGGCAATGGAAATTGACCAACTGAATCGTCAGGTAAATACACTGATCATGAAATTCTCGGCAGGCCGCCCAAGTTTACAAGATATCCGTACACACATCAATACGGAATGGAATCTAGTATCGGAGCCAGCTATAGGATTTTTAGATCCAAGACATATCACGATTCATATGGGCTCGACTCAAGATGCAAAGCTTGCCCTTTCACGCAATTCGAATAATATAAAGAATTGTATGTTCCGACTATTTCGTTGGACACCAGAATTTTCTATAGGCAAAGATAGTAGCAGGGTTGCGGTTTGGGTTCGTCTCCCTAACTTACCACTCCCATATTTCAACGTCTCATCTTTGGAACGAATTGGAACAGCGCTTGGTAATGTCTTACGAGTGGATGATAGAACGCTGGCTTTTACACACACACATTACGCGAGAATTTGCATAGAGGTTAACGTTGCAAAGCAATTGCCGGAATCGATATTCATAGGTACATCCAAGGAGGATGGGTGGTGGCAAAAAGTCGAGTATGAAGGTAATCACCTTTACTGTTCTCATTGTGGGTTGTTGGGACATCTGGTTGGAGCATGCAGGAAAAAACAAGGGTTACCGAAACCTCCTAGTAAGCGAAAACCGTTGGGGCAGAAACAACCTACTCGTATATTGCACCGAGGTGAAACCGATACTACTCAGGATGAGACCGGTCATATCCTTGCAGCTGATTCTAACCCAAAATCTATATCAAGGAAGTGGAAAAATACCGAGATTCCGCTCCCTACCACGTCTGGTACAACTGCTGGTTATCAGGTAGACACCGGGCTAAACTCTAAGCACAAGACTCAAGACGGTTTAAACCTTACTCAACACGTTGACGGTGCTCGAGACTCAACATGCCACGTAGATGAGACGCAAAATACCCACAAGTCCAACACTGATGCTGGTGACATTCAACAACCATCCATGCAAGCCCATTTCCACGAAGCGGAACGGACTTTAGAAAATTCTTCTCTAGGTCCAACAATCAATAAAGAAATGAGAGACAATTCAATTGCAGTTGAAAATCAGTTTGATGCATTACATTTGGTAGGTGATGCGAATTTGACCCTTACAAATTACCATTCCGATGGGGAAAAAGATGACGAAACAGGTGTATCCATGTCTCCAAAATCGGACAGTGAAGCCCCTGTACGAGCTCCCGGAAATAAATTTCTAAACCCTAATAGTAGGTATTTTATCCCACCTACTGATCGAGTTACCAGATCTCTAGCAAAGTTCTCTGCCAATCCCCAAGTTTAATGATATCGTGTTTGATTTGGAACGCACGCGGGGTCAGTCCACAATCTAAAGTTAATCATATAAAAACCCTCGTTTTTCAACAATGGGTCAATTTATTGGTGATATTAGAACCGAAACTTCCCACGGCTAGGCTGCACAATTTCGCCTGGAAATCAGGTTTTCCCTCATACTTACACGGTGAGGATAAAAACCAATACTTATGGATACTATGGAAAACCGAGATAGATGTTCAATGCCTGAATATTTTTGAACAAGCTATCACAGTCTCTATTACCACTCCTAGTAAACCGCCCTTCACAGCTTCCTTTGTGTATGCTAGTTGTTCTCACCGTTCAAGGACGGATCTTTGGACTCACCTCTCTGCTATGAATGAAGTTATCTCGGATCCTTGGTTTCTGGGTGGTGATTTTAATGCGATTTTAGATGTGTCGGAAAAGAAAGGAGGCTTGAATGACGCTACAAGACTCCATGATTTCCAGAATTTTGTTATTCAATCGGGTCTTCTCGATGCAGGGTTCATAGGAAACCCGTTTACGTGGAGCAACAACCGACATGGTAATAACCGGGTCTGGAGCCGATTAGATAGAGTGTTGGTTAACTCTGCTTTCCAGCTCCGGTTTCCAACTTTGAAGGTGGTACACCTTGATCGTTCTCTATATGACCATGCCCCATTGTGGATTTACTTCGAGCAGCCCCAAGCTTCAGTCCATAAGAGTTTTATGTTTCAACGCATGTGGATTGACCACCACTCTTTCCACGACGTGGTTCGGCAGGCGTGGGATATGCCCGTGCATGGCTCCCCGTTTTTCATGTTCCACCAAAAAGTCTCTAATGTGGGAAGAACACTCAAGAAATGGAACTGGGAAACATTTGGAGACATTCATAAGAATATCCGTGAATGCCAGATTCGTATTCAAGGGTTTGAGGATAATCTTCAGCAAAATTGGAGCGAATTGGTGGATGATCAGCTTATTGCGGAAAAAAAATAGCTTGTCCGTTTGGAGGAATGGGAAGCGGAGATGCTCAGCGCTAAGGCTAGGATTGCATGGGAGAAAGCTGGTGATCGAAATACAGCCCTTTTCCACGCGAGCATTAAAGATCGGCGAAAACTATCATGTATCCAAGTTGCTCGTCAAGATGGCTCAATTACTACACATCCTCAAGATATTGGCCCCATTGCTGAAAATTTCTTCGCCAATTTATTTTCAGCCTCAGATTACTATATGGACGAGGAACTTTTTCACGGAGTGCCTACATTGGTTAATGCTGATCTTAATGTTGATTTTTGCCGTATTCCGAGTATGGACGAAATCTATGATGCCGTCAAAGGTTTGAATCCATCGAGCGCTCCAGGTAATGACGGATTTACAGGCCACTTCTACGTTGCCTGTTGGGAGATCATTAAGTACGACCTCAATAACTTCATTGGCGACTTCTTTCGAGGAGGTTATATGCTTAAGGAGATGAATAGAACAATCCTGGTCTTGCTGCCAAAGACCGAAAGTGCTCGGAATATTGCCGATTACCGTCCCATTAGTTTATGTAACTTCTCTGGGAAAATGATTTCCAAAATTCTCGCTACTAGATTGGGGAAAATTTTACCTCTTCTTATTTCGGATGAACAAGCGGGATTTGTTCAAGGCCGGCAAATCACCACTCATATTGTTTTGGCCCAAGAGCTGATCCGCGACATCATCGTAAATGTAAAGGAGGGAATGTTGTTTTTAAATTGGATATGGCCAAAGCATATGACCGATTGGAATGGCGGTTTCTCTTACGAGCCATGCGTTCCTTTGGTTTTTCTCATGCAGCGTGTGACCTTATCTATTGGAATATTTGTGGTATCTGGTACTCGTTCCGGGTCAACGGTAATATTGTAGGTAATTTTAAATCGACTCGAGGGGTCCGCCAAGGAGATCCGCTATCTCCACTCCTATTTATCCTAGCGCAGCAAATTCTAACGATCAATATCTCCAAAAAAATTGAAGCTAAGCAAATTCATCAGTATAAAGTGGGGAAAAATGAATTGGCGGTTTCCCACTTGCTCTATGCAGACGATATCCTCATCTTTACTAATGGGGGGCAGCAATCTATACAAGCGCTTAAGAACGTTTTTACGTCCTACGAGAAGTCCTCATGTCAGTTAATGAACACAACAAAGAGTCAGCTATATGTGGGAAAGTGGGCGGAGTCTGAGTATACACGTATCGAGCAGTTATCTGGGATTCGTAAGAAAGACCTACCTCTAATGTACCTTGGAGCGCCAATTTACTCGGGGAGAAGTAAAGTCGAGTACTTTGAATATCTTGTTTAGCAAGTCCGTCGAAAACTCCAAGGATGGAAAGGCAAGCTCCTTTCTTTTGCGGCCAAAATCACGCTACTTAAATCGGTACTTTCCAGTCTTCCGATTTATACATTAGCATGTTCGAAAGTCCCAACATTAGTTCTTAACCGTCTCGAACAGCTTATGGCTTTCTTTTTATGGAGCTCGGGTGGTGATATCCGTACCCATTGGGTTAAATGGTCCATGGTTTGTAAACCAATGGAGGAAGGTGGATTGGGTATTCGCCCAATTAAACAAGTTATGAGATGCCTGCATGGAAAACTTTTATGGCAAGTGATGAAAGGAGACTCATTGTGGGCTCGTTTTGCCAAAGCCAAATACTGCGATAAGAGGATTAATATTAATAGGCGGACGGCGTCTCCCCTTTGGAACGCAATTCACAGCCATGTTGATACTATGGAGGAATGCACTCAATGGATCGTGGGTCGAGGAGCGGTCAAATTTTGGTCTGAGAATTGGCTTGGTGAACAACTTACTGGACCATTGCCATGTGATGCTCGTCTCACGGTAGTTGAAGCTCTCACACATATCGAGGATTACTTACCAATAATCCCCATCCATTGGCATGACAAGATTCGCCAGATTATTTTAGACCTTAATAGTCCTGATCGATTGATTTTTACTCTCACTCAAAATGGTGAATTCTCAAGCAAGGCATACTGCAATCATATTAGGGTTATAGGTCGTCAACATCAATGGGCTGATCGTATTTGGAGCAAGTTCATAACACCTAAAACTAGTGGCTTTATGTGGAAACTGATGCATCACGCGTTGCCGGTGGATCAACGTATAATATCGAGGGGAATCCCTATCGTCTCTAGATGTGTTTGCTGCCAAACTCCCAAACAAGAAGACATAAATCACCTGTTCTTCAATTCCGAGGTGGCTAGCCAGGTGTGGCAGTGATTTGGCTCCATCTTCCACCTTCAAGATCAGTTTTCGTCGGCAAAACACGCATTAAATGTGTGGATTCCAATGCCCAAGAATCTGTCTTTCTACAATGTGGTTCGTGCCTCGGTGGCCTGCAACATTCTTCGACAGCTTTGGATTACTCGATGTACGGTGGTGTACGACAACGGTAAGATGACAAGTGTCGATATTATCCGTAGAGTTTTTTATCACGTCCGAAGCATGGGCATGGTACATGTGCCAAGGCAACCTTCCACGAAAAATCAACGGTTACAAATGGAGGCTGGGGGTTTTCGATTTTCTCCAATACCAGTGAAACAAGGGGCGTGTTATAAATGGGAATATCCGAGCATTGGAGAATACAAACTTAATACGGATGGTTCGGCTACGGCAGAGCACTGTATTGGTGGAGGTATTATTCGAGACTCGGGAGGACATCTTGTTGCTGGCTTTTCTACATTCTTTGGCATGGGTTCAAATAACTATGCGGAATTCCTAGCAGTAGTTCATGGGCTGAGATTATGTAAATTGTTGGGAGTTACTTCGGTTACGGTTGAATCAGACTCCTTGTTGGTCATAAACTCCATTGGGACCAATACGGTTGCCTGGGATCTTGCATACGTTCATCGACTTTGCAACCAGGAGGTCGATGCTACGTTCCGTTTTCAGCATATATTTCGTCAAAAAAATATTGTTGCTGATCGACTTGCAAACTGGGCGTATACGCACAAATCAAGTCAAGAGTTTTTTGCCGCCTCCAACTTACCGCCGGAGGTGAGGGCTGCCTATACTTGTGACAAATTGGGAATAGCGAATTTTCGCATTTGATGAGTTCTGGAGGCTGCATTTTTCGACATGATGCACTTTATTACATTCTGGTCCTTTTTGGGGGTGATTTCGCAATATTCAGAAGTGTTGCGCAGGGTGCTTCGGTCAGTCCACCTATGCTGGATTAATTATAGATTAACCAACATTCTGGGGGCTAACAACAATAATACAAACTTTTATTAGGTTTCTAGAAACAGGACTTGTAGTTTCTTTTCTTTCACTTTTTACCCCATTTTGGGGCTGTTTTGTAATAGTCTAGCTAGATTAGACACGGATTTTTTATTGCCATTGTAGGGGTACTCTTTTTCCTTGTGTTAGGCCCACAAGGTTTTAACGAGGCCCCCTTTCGCCTATATTTTATGGAATAATAAAATCTTTTTGGCCAAAAAAAAAAAAAAAAAATTAGGAAAATAAAATCAAATTAGACGAGAGAATCCCTCAACCTCTTTGGTAGTGTACGTCCACGAAGTCGAGCATATATTTTTCATCCGGAGTCCAAATCAACTGGTTCCGGCGGCATCAGAACGTTGTTTCAGCTGGCTACAATTCCTGTCTAATGGCGAAAATCCAAATTCGGACTCGAACATGGTTAAAATTGGATTCTAAATGCGATCATGAAAATAAGTACTACTGTTCCAGGACATCAATGCGCATCAAGAAACGTGCACAAAAACTCTCGCTAGAAAGATACGCACATAAGGAAGAGTACAAAAGCATGCACAAAAGTACTCACGCAAATGTGCATTCGCAAAAAGGATCATGAAAACACAAACTACAATCCTAGGACATTAATACAAATCAACAAACATGCACAAGCAGACTCGCTCAAATGGACATGCACAAACGTACATGTAAAAAAACATGCGCAAAAGTGCATTCTCAACAACGTTCTTAAAAACACGAACTACAATACTAGGACTTTAATACGCATCGACAAAAAACAGCAAAAAGACTAGATAAAAAAGAAACAATGGAGTGTAGAAATAAAACTCTACGTTTACGTTTACGTGGATTTTTTTTTTTGGATTAATTTATATTTCTGTTTGAATTGGTGGATTTTGGTCTCTTATAGGTACAAATCAAAAATTAGGTGTCCAGGAAGCAAAAATGATGAAAGAGTAAGAAAAGAGTTGCAATTAGGAAAATAAAATCAAATTAGAAGAGATAATCCCTCAACATCTTTAGAAGTGTACATCCACGACGTCGAGCATGACTTTCTCATCCAGACTCCAAATCAAATGGTTCAAGCGGCATTAGAAAGCTATTTCAGCTGGCTACAATTCCTGTCTAACGACAAAAATCCAAATTCAGACTCAAACATGGTCAAAATTGGATTCCAAAAGCGATCATGAAAATACGTACTACAGTTCTAGGACATGAATGCGCATCAAGAAACGTGCACAAAAAATCTCGCTAGAAAAATACACACATAAGTAAGAGTACAAAAGCATGCACAAAAGTACTCACGTAAAAGTGCATTCGTAAAAAGGATCATGAAAACACAAACTACAATTCTAGGACATTAATACAAATCAACAAACATGCACAAGCTCACTCGCTCAAATGAACATGCACAAACGTACATGTAAAAAAACATGCGCAAAACAGCATTCTCAACAACGTTCTTAAAAACACGAACTACAATACTAGGACTTTAATACGCATCAACAAACAACAGCAAAAACACTAGATAAAAAAGATACACTATAGTGTAGAAATAAAACTCTACGTTTACCTTTACGTGGATTTTTTTTTTTTTGGATTAATTTATATTTATGTTTGAGTTGGTGGATTCGGTATCTTATAGGTACAACTCGAAAATTAGGTGTCCAGGAAGCAAAAATGATCAAAGAGTAAGAATAGATTTGCAATTTGGAAAATAAAATCAAATTAGAAGAGAGAATCACTCAACATCTTTGGTAGTGTACGTCCACAAAGTCGAGCATAACTTTCTCATCCGGAGTCCAAATCAACTGGTTCCCGCGGCATTAGAACGCTGTTTCAGCTGGCTACAATTCCTATTTAATGGCAAAAATCCAAATTCGGACTCAAACATGGTCAAAATTGGATTCTAAATGCGATCATGAAAATACGTACTACAGTTCATGGACATGAATGCGCATCAAGAAACGTGCACAAAAACTATCGCTAGAAAAATACACACATAAGTAAGAGTACAAAAGCATGCACAAAACTACTCACGCAAAAGTGCATTCGCAAAAAGGATCATGAAAACACAAACTACAATCCTAGGACATTAACACAAATCAGCAAACATGCACAAGCACACTCGCTCAAATGGACAAGCACAAACGTACATGTTAGAAAACATGCGCAAAAGTGCATTCGCAACAACGTTCTTAAAAACACGAACTACAATACTAGGACTTTAATACGCATCAACAAACAACAGCAAAAACACAAGATAAAAAAGATACACTGTAGTGTAGAAATAAAACTCTATGTTTACGTTTACGTGGATTTTTATTTTTTTTGGATTAATTTATATTTCTGTTTTAGTTGGTGGATTTGGTATCTTATAGGTACAACTCGAAAATTAGGTGTCCAGGAAGCAAAAATGATCAAAGAGTAAGAAAAGAGTTGCAATTAGGAAAATAAAATCCAATTAGAAGAGAGAATCACTCAACATCTTTGGTAGTGTACGTCCTCGAAGTCGAGCATAACTTTCTCATCCGGAGTCCAAATCAACTGGTTCAGGCGGCATCAGAACGCTGTTTCAGCTGGCTACAATTCCTGTCTAATGGCAAAAATCCAAATTCGGACTCGAACATGTTCAAAATTGGACTCTAAATGCGATCATGAAAATACGTACTACAGTTCCAGGACATGAATGCGCATCAAGAAACGTGCACAAAAACTCTCGCTAGAAAAATACACACATAAGTAAGAGTACAAAAGCATGCACAAAACTACTCACGCAAAAGTGCATTCGCAAAAAGGATCATGAAAACACAAACTACAATCCTAGGACATTAATACAAATCAACAAACATGCACAAGCACACTCGCTCAAATGGACTTGCACAAACGTACATGTAAAAAAACATGCGCAAAAGTGCATTCGCAACAACGTTCATAGAAACACGAACTATAATACAAGGACTTTAATACGCATCAACAAACCACAGCAAAAACACTAGATTAAAAAGATACAGTGGAGTGTAGAAATAAAACACTACGTTTACGTTTACGTGGATTTTTTTTTTGGATTAATGTATATTTCTGTTTGAATTGGTGGATTTGGTATCTTATAGGTACAAATCGAAAATTAGGTGTCCAGGAACCAAAAATGATCACAGAGTAAGAAAAGAGTTGCAATTAGGAAAATAATATCAAATTAGAAGAGAGAATCCCTCAACATCTTTGGTAGTGTACGTCCACGAAGTCGAGCATAACTTTCTCATCCAGAAACCAAATCAACTGGTTCCGGCGGCATCAGAACGCGGTTTCAGCGGGCTACAGTTCCTAACTAATGGCAAAAATCCGAATTTGGACTCGAACATGGTCGAAATTGGATTCTAAATGCGATCATGAAAATACGTACCTCAGTTCGAGGACATGAATGCGCATCAAGAAACGTGCACAACAACTCTCGCTAGAAAAATACACACATAAGTAAGAGTACAAAAGCATACACAAAACTACTCACGCAAAAGTGCAATCGCAAAAAGGATCATGAAAACACAAACCACAATCCTAGGACCTTAACACAAATTAGCAAACATGCACAAGCACACTCGCTCAAATGGACATGCACAAACGTACATGTAAAAAAACATGCGCAAAAGTGCATTCGCAAAAACGTTCTTGTTGATTTATATGCCTATAGAAATCAGTTGGTCTAAGTTGTAACAGTTAAGTTGTGGAAACAGTATTCAGTTACAACTGTAAATCTTGTGTTGTCACAGTTATACTCTACTTAAAGTAAATAAACAGAACACAAGAATTAATGTGGTTCAGACACAATTGTGCCCTACATCCACGTGGACCTGCAAACACGATTTCACTAGTTTAGATTTACAGTGTACATTAATAGGACTTATTAAAAACACTAAAGACTCCCTCTTTATGTAATATGCCGTTCTTGTACACAACTCGAACTTCGTGTTTCTTCCAACAGCAGCTCCACACCGCGTGCCTATAACTCC